ATGACTGTTAAGAATGTTATTGTATTGTCTTTGAATGTTTAATTGCTGGGGAAGGAGCAACAGTTGTTAAAGTACAGGACACTTGGGAGGGGAATTTCTCCTTTTGTTTCCACGGAGGGTGAAGAGCTGTGGATTCCTTCCACACTGGTGTGGTTTTATGGGGCAGGACCCCCTGAAGCAGTGGCCCAGGTGACCCAAATATTTGTTTTCATTTAAATTTGGTTGGTTAGAAATGGTAGTGGTCACAGTCAATCACTTTTTAAAGGAAAAAGGAGGAATATGATATAGAAATGATGCTTTGTATTGGAATGGACCTTTATTTTTTGACACTTTGTATTGGAATGGATCTTCATTTGTTGATATTAGTTAGGTTTTCTAGATATATAGATACTCTTCAAACCTTTCAAAGACCTACAGAATATATGACATTTAAATGGTTTAGGGTGTTTTTTGACAGTGAGACACAACTGCTCCTGCTACACCAATTACATCTGAGAGGAAGATGGGCATCCAAGAAACTTGTTATAGTTTGCCTTCTATGTGGCAAGACTAGCCATTTGGGCAAGAAGCTACTCTTGCCTGAACTGTTAGACTGTTGCTTTATAAACTGGACATGCAGGACCCATAGGAAAGTGACTGCTGATGGACAGTCCTAAAGGGTTCCTGCTTCATGAAAGAATCTGCCAGACATTCTACAGGACACAGAAAAAAGGTGACGGACAAACTGCCAATGCAGGTGGACAGTTTAGAATTTCCTGCTTTGCTGAAAAGTCTGCCAGACACATTGTGGCCTGTAGGTTAAAAATGGATGCCCCAACATTACCAAGACTGTCTAGGTGACTGTCTTGGTGACTGTCTAGGAAGCAAGATGTCTCTGTTAGTTCTAGAGTTTATATATTATCCTTCTATGGTCTTTGATGGAGTTGAAGATAGATAGTTATAGTAACACCCTAAGATAGAATGGTTGAAATCTTACAGTTCTTACTTGATAACTGTTTTGTTATATATAAAGAAGGGGGAGATGTTGGGACCCAGTCCCCACGTGGTCTCTAAGAGTTGTTTTCCAGCATAACTACCGGTACCTCCTGTTTCCCTGACCTCATCCCACTAGCATCAATATCCTGTTGTAAACCCTTTGACCTGGGGTTTTTGTAAGTTTGTATATAAGGCTGCTCCACAATAAAGGTGAGAGACATTCTCTCAAAAAGTTGACCAGGCATCTTGTCCTTCATCCAAATCTCCAGGTTTTTGACTGATACTTTGACTTAGTTGTGGTGCAGGCAGCCACAGTCCTGTGTGGTGGTAGGGCTGGCCTCTCTGACATGTGACTTTGATGAATTAAACTGCAATTGGTCTTGTCTGTCCAATGTTTGGGCCATGTGTAAACCTGGGGCAGGAATCTCTCCCTCACCAATGAGCAACAGGAAGTGATTAAAGCAGCCCCTTTCTTGTATTCACTGCCCATGTAAGGCAGGTGACTAGGCCAGGGCAAACCTGGGCTGGATCCCAGCTCCCACAGGCTTCCTCTGGGGAGGGCCTTAAGATAGTGTATAACCTACACACACACACAGCAGATATTAGAGCTATTACTGAACTCTCCCATGAACTAGGATCAGTTGGCTGTATTCCCAACCTTGGGAGATAAGTGCCTTCCTCCATTTCACAGCTGAGGACTCCACTGAGGACATGATAAGGAGTCTGAAGCCCTAATCTTGAGCTAGGATGCTGATGAAGGTGTGGAGAGGTCAGCCAGACTGCGTAGGATAGAGAATATATTTAGGAAGGAAGAACTGGAGAGTTGCCTCCAGCTATAGGAGGCAGCCATGTTGCCTTCCCTGCCAGGATGAGTCTTCCTACTTCTACTGTAGAATATTATTTTATGATGTGTTACATTTGTTTGTACTGTGGGATATTTGTTTAATGATGCAAAGATGTGTCTCATTATTTTATGTTGCATTTGTTTAACTGTGTGAAGCTGTGTTACTTTGCCTGTCTAAAACATCTGATTGGTCAAATAAAAAGCTGAATGGCTGATAGCTGGGCAGAGAAAGGATGGGTGCACTGGCAGGCAGAGAGAATAAATAGGAGGAAAAAAAGTGAAAGTAGTATTACAGAAGTAAGGAGAGGAAAAGGCCCAGAGGCAAAAGGTAGACAGGGATAATTTAAGAAAGCTTGCTAGAAATAAGCCCAGCTGTGACTGGGCATTTGTAAATAAGAATAAGCCTCTGTGTGTGATTTATTTGGGAGATGGTGGAAGCCCCCTCCCCAAAGAGCAAAGAGCAAAAGAGTAAAAAACACAACAACATTCTGGTGTACCAGAATGTTGAATTTCCATGTAGGGGCTGAGAAAGCTGAAGAAAAAAAAAAAAGAAGAAGAAGATCCAGTTTCTTTGCCTCTTTAAGAGTTTCTGCCTGCTGGGAGCTCTTGAGCAGCCAGTATGTTAAGTAAGAACAAAACACTAAGTAAAATACCCTGCTACAGTGCAGGTCACCAGCATTCCATAGCTGGGGGGTTGAATGCAGTTCCTGGTCAAGCACCACTTGGTGCTCATGAACTAAGAAGAAGGGAGCAGAGCCAGCCAAGAGAGACACTCAGAGGACCCAGGTGTGGCTTAGCAGTTTGCTCCTGCCTTCAAAAAAAGGCTAAAAGGTACCCAGTAAAAGAGGCCCAGACAGAAAAACCTCTAAACAGGTTCCAGTGTATTTTACAATGTGTGTAGGTTTATGAAAGAAGGAAAAGGGTATGGGTAGTCGTAAAAATAGTTTAAAAATAAAAAAGTAAAGTCTTTAAAGAGAAAATAAAAGTAATATAAAGGAAAAATGCCACATAAGATGGGTAACACACAGTGAGTATGGGTCCTGTGTATTTTATTGTTTTGATCTTAATTTTTTTTTTAACATTGTTGAGCAAATTACAGCTCTGACAGACATGGGGTTGTGAACTGAACTGCTAAATTGAACCAACCTAGATACTTTAGGGCTGTCTTAACTTTAATAAAGAAGTAAAAAAAAAAAAAAGTTTGCTTTGGAGAAGCAGGTTTTCTTTTGTTTCCACAGGAAACAAGAGCCTGTGGAGTCGTTCCAGGTTAATATGGATCAGGTTTGATCAAGGGAGACCTGAGACTTGACAGGTGAAATTTACTTCCCAGGACTTGGCCATTACCTCAGATTTCCTCAGGAATCCCTAAAAATTCCTTCACCCACAGACAACAAGATGCAGTCTAGGGGAAACAATGCCCATATGCCTAAGAGTTGGGGTGTGGGTGGTCTTTGGTTATTTGGTGGGTCATGGATTTTGTTATATTTAGGGGAATATAGGAATATAGGATAAAAAAACAACTATTGTTTGGTATATTGATACAAATTTAATGTTATTTTTGTGATACTGTATATATGTTTCTACTCTTGTGTGCTTATGCATCTCATTTAAAATGCAATATATAATTGAGAAATGAGGTTGGTAGTTAATTGTGATAATCAAGCTTGTCACTTTAGGTGTGTTTTAAAGGTTAATTAGGCATATTTTAGACAGATAGATGGTCTTCAAACACTTCAAAGACCTACAGAATATGGCATTTGAAATGTTTTGTGAACATAGGGTTTTTCATGACAATGAGACACATGTGTTTCTGGCAGCATCAATTTACTTCATAAAAGGAAGATGGGCATTGAAGAAACTGCTTATGGAGTTTGCTTTCATTGTGATAAGGTTAGCCACTGGGCATAGAAACTGCTGTTGCTTTTGACTGTTGACAATGTGCTGTGCAGACTGGACATGCAGGACACATAGGAGAAAGACTATTGAACTTTGCCAAAATGAGGCAGAACAGTCCTTCAAAATTCCTGCTTCACAGAAGAGTCTGCCATGTATTCTGCCAGACACAGAGGAACATGACTGATGAAGTTTTCCAATATAAAGCAGGATAGTCTTCAAATTTCCTGCTTCACTGAAAAGTCTGCCAGATACTCTAGGCCTATAGGCTGAAGACAGATGCCCCAAAGTTGCAAAGGAACATTTGGTGACTGTTCAGGCAGCAAGATGTCTCTGTTGTTAGGTAACATTACATCTTTCTGGGTCTTTGATCGAGTTAAAGACTAAATAATTAGAGTTATAGTTTTCCTTAATTATGATAAAAAGTAAATTAGGTGTAAAACTTTAGAATCACTAAGATAAGATACATAATGGAGTGTTTTCTCTGAATTTGCTAAATACAAATGGACTGAATATTGTAAATGTAAGTCTTACTTGATAACTGTTTTGTTGTATATAGTTTACTATGTTAAAGTTCAAACCTTTCATTTTTATTTAAACAAGAAGGGGGGAATGTTGTAGAATATTATTTGAAGATGTGTTACATTTGTTTATGCTATGGAACATTTGCTTAATGATGTAAAAATGTGTTGCATTTATTTATGTTGCATTTAACTCTGTGAAGCTGTGTTATCTTGCCTGTCTAAAACAAGTGATTGGCCTAATAAAGAGCTGGACGACTGCTAAGTCAGGAGAGAGGATAGACAGGGCTTACAGGCAGAAAGGAAAAACAGGAGAAGAAAATGAGCAAAAAGGATGGAGGAGCAAGATCAAGGATCAAGAAAAGAATGGGCCAGCCACACAGCCAGTCACAGTCACACAGTCACACAGTCACACAGCCACACAACCACATAGCCACACACACAGCCACACAGCTACACACACTGCCACACAGCCAGTCACAGAGTAAGAGTGAAAGTAAGATTACAGAAGTAAGAGAAGGGAAAAGCCCAGAGGCAAAAGGTAGATGGGATAATTTAAGTTAAGAAAAGGTGGCTGGAAACAAACCAAGCTGTGGCCAGGCATTTATAAGTAAGAATCAGCCTCCATGTGTGATTTATTTGGGAGCTTGTTGGAAGGCCCCCCAAAGAGCAAAGAGTAAAAAAGTACAACAGTACAACAATGTCCTTCATTCAAGAGGCTATGCCTTCCCAGAAGGTTTCAGTCAATGGCTCCAGTGCTGACATTTCTAGAACCAGGTGCTTTCCATAATGACCACCTCTTGCTGGCTACTCTTGGTTGTGGATGACCTAGAATAATCCAGAGAGGAAACATTGACACATGGAAATATCAGGTCTGGTGGGAGTGTGAGCACTTTGATATCCAGTTTTATTACTCCTGTGAGCCCCATGCCTAGAACCATACCTGAAACACAGTAGGTAGACAATGAAAGTGAATTAAATGAAATAATGAGCTAAATTGAGCATGGTGATGAAAGTTTGTGATCCCAACAACTAGAAGGCTGAAGCAGGAGGATTGTCTGAAGTTCAAAGCCAGCTTGATGTAAATTGTGAGTTCCAGGCCAGCCAGGTTACACAGTGAGGCTCTGACTCAAGAAAATAACAACAGTGGGCTGGAGACAGCTCATCTGGTGAGAACACTTGCTGCTCTTGCAGAAGACCTGGGTTTGGTTCCCAGCACCCACGTGGTGATCACAACCACCCATTACTCATGTTCCCAGGGAATCTGACCTCTCTTTCTGGTCTCCTTGGATACCAGCTATACACATATTGCATATACATACATGTAAGCAGAATACTCATACATATACAATAAAAATAATGCATAATTTTTAAAAATCAGCCCATTAAGAGCTGGAGAGATGGCTCAGCCATTAAGAGCACTGCTCTTACAGAGGACCTGGGTTTGATTCCCAGCACCTACATGGCAGCTCACAACTGTCTGTAACTCCAGTTCCAGGGAACCTGACAACCATAGCAAAACACCAATGCACATAAAATAAAAATAAATAAAATTTTAAAAATCAGTCAATTAAATCGGCTCCCCTGCCTTTCAGCTGGGGTCCTTAGATGAGCAACACAACCTTTCTGAGCTGCAGTTCCCTTAACAGTGACACTAGACAGCAGGATGCTATATTAAGACAATATGTGCCCTCCAAAAAAAAAAAACCCAAAAGAAGAACCAGTGCCATGGGGTGGTAGCACACACCTTTAATCCCAGTACTCAGGAGGCAGAGGCAGGCAGAAAGTGAGTTCAAGACCAGCCTGGTATACAGAGCAAATTCCAGGACAGCCAGGGCTACAGAGAAACCCTGTCTGGAAAAATAAAAAGACAGTAAGTCTATTTATCTGGGCTACAGATGTAGAGTGCTGGTCTAGCATACAAGAGGGCCTAGCTGCCAGTCCCAGCAATGAATAAAAAGGGGAGGGACTTATAAAAGGGGAGGGACTTACTAAGTAGCCCAGTACCAACTGCTGTGAGGCCAACAGGAGAGACTCCCACCTAATCACCAAGGATACAGGAGCTGTAGGGACAGCCCATCTAGTCACAGCCATGCACAAGGACTCTAGAGTAATTTAATTCTGAAGATGACTCTGTGAATGACGCCAGTGCATGCATGCATGCTCGCTCTCTCTCTCTCTCTAAGTACACACTTGTGAGCATGAGTGTGGAGGCCACAGGTCAACCTTGAGTGTCATTCTTCAGGTGGTTCATCTTGTTTTTGTTATCTCATTGTGTAGCCCTGGCACTCAGAGATCAACTCACCACCTCTTTGATTCCCAAGGGCTGGGATTAAAGGTGTATGCACCAAAATGTCTGTCTACCTTGTTTTATGAGACAGGATCTCTCACTGGCCTGGAGCTTGCCATGTATGCCAGATTGGCTAGCTAGTGAGCTTATGTCTACCTTTTTGGTGCTAGGATTATAAGGGCTTTTTGCCATGACTACCTTTTTTTCCTCCCACAAGTTCTGGGAGACTGAACTTAGGTCTTCAGGCTCACAGGGTAAGCACTTCACCCACTGCGCTGTCTCCCCAGGCCTTGTTCTGTTTTTCCTCTAGTCCTCATTCTACATGTGAGGAAGCAGACTCGAAGGAGATGTGGTTATGAAAAGCAGTTGGGAATTTTCACTCCCTGCCCTGCTGTCGGAACATCAGGTCAGATGTCAGGATGGGTGCCTGGATTTTGACCAAAGAACTCAGCTCTGCTCCGTCTGAGCCAGGAATTCACACGGGAACTTGGAGCTAGGATGTGTGAGACTGTTGATGTCTTCTTGTGCCAGTTTTGGCAAGAGAAGTTACGCAGCTTCACAGGTGGGTATCCAATCTGTGCCCCTGTCCACACCATTTTCCTGCTTAAGCTACAGTCACCACCTCCCTGGAGGAACCTTGGGCTTGTAACCTTGTTTCTTTGAGCCTTACTCACCCTGTCCATGGAAATGGTCACCACTGTCACAGGGCAGTCTCAGAGCTTCAATGGCTTCAGGAGCACAAGCCTTGGAAGTAGCTATCCTGCAGCTCCGCTCATCTCTTGCTTGCCCAAGAGAAAGCCTGACCAGCCCAGGTGACCCAGGACACTCACCTGCCCTCCAAGTCCTGGATGGTGTCTGGGAGTTGAATTCCCTGGGTCTCTGGGAGGAAGAGCAGGAAGACCAGGCTAGAAAGGATGGGGAGAGCTCCATAGGTGAGGGGTGGCAACAGGGGCAGGACCTGGCTGGCCATCTTAATCAAAGGGCCTATTATACTCCCTAGGCGGCCCACAGAGTTCAGGAAGCCATTTGCTGTCACCCTGTGGGAGGAGAGGAGACTCAGATATAGTTGCAGTTGCCACTGTGGCTGGAGGGTGGTATGGCTGGACCCAGGGATTCAGGAGTGGGGTGGCTGGGTACAGGAATCACTGCCTCAGCGTCTACTAGGCCACTCACCTCCCAGCTCTGAGTCTCCATATTATAGGGGGAGAGCCAGCAGACATTATCAAAACACAGTAGTGAAGACCAAGCATGGTGTTGCATGCCTGTAATTGCAGCTTTCTGTGATCAGAAAGCTGAGGCAGGAGGATTCCGGTGAGTTTGAGGCCAGCTTGGCCTATGTAGTGGGAGTTAGTCTCAAAACACCAAACCAAACCTCAAGCCTGGGTATCCTTGAAGCTTTAAGAGGCCCTGCCAGCCGTCTCCACTGAAGCTCTGGGGGTGTCCTTCCCTGACTCATGACCATTTAAGAGGCCCTGCCAGCCGTCTCCACTGAAGCTCTGGGGGTGTCCTTCTATGACCGTATCCACACTGAGGCTCCAAACACCACCTACCTCACCACTGTTGGGAAGAGTTCTGCGATGTACAAAAGGAGAGAAGTCAAGCAGACACCGAAACAGCTTTTCCCCAGGATGGCCAGGGCCACACGCAGAGTCTGAAGGTCTGCAGGTGTGACAGTGACAGTGAGGTCGAGGCAGGTAGCCCTCAGCAGAGCCAATGCAGTGCCAAGCTACCTAGCACCAAGTGAGGACACAGTGTGGGATGAGGTGCTTGGCCATGGGCCAGGGCATAAAGACAGGTATGCTGGGTGGCCAACCCTGGGGCAAATTCACAGTTTGCCATGACAGGAAACTATGCCATGCCAGGTCGATAACAGGGCCCTGGGGTGCCCAGATACCTACAACCTTCTTATTACCCTTTGTCCTATTTGTGAGGACCAGTAGCTGTGTGACAGCACCCCTAGCTGGAAGCTGAGACTGAGTTACTGCCCTGTGAGTCTGGCTTGGGCTTTGTCTTCATGCACGGTCTTACTTAGTCTTACAGGGGCTGGAAGTATGCCTCAGTGGTACAGCACTCACCTAGCCACCCTCAGTCGGAGGGGGGGGGAGGCAGGGAATAAAAAGTCTTTCTTTTCTTATTTTTTTGGAGACAGTTTCTCTGTGTATCGCAGCGCTTCATCTGCCTCTGCATTCTGAATATGTCACCACCGCCCGGCTGGAAAAAGTCTCATAGAGCCCTTGGAGAGGGCTCAGTTTGATGCAGTGCTTACCTCGAAAGCATGAAGACTTGGCCCAATCACACTGGTGTTAAAAGCTGGTGTGGTGGTGTACATTATAATCATAGTGCTGGGGAGGTAGAGACCTGTGGCTGTTGGGGGCTGGCTGGCCATGAAGTCTAGCACAAACAGTGAACTCTAGCCCAGAGTCACTTTTGAGACAGAAACCCTGTCTCAAAAGATAAGGACTGCTGTGCTTGGTGGCACATACCTTTAATCCAAGCATTTGGAAAGCAGAGGCATGTGGATCCCTGTGAGTTTCAGGTCAGCCAAGGCTACATAGTGAAACCCTGTCTTAAAAAAAAAAATGGATATGGGTGACATTTCTGGAATAACATCTGTGTTTGGCCTCTGATCTTCAAACAAGCTTATATGTGTGCACATAGACCTGAACATACACATAGGGCAGGGAGCCAAAACCTGGTAGCTTTAATGTGATGACCCCCATAAGTTTGAATACTTGATTCCCCGTTGGTGGCTGTTTGTGGAAGGCTAGGAGGTGTGGAGGGTTATGTCCCTGGAGGTGGGCTTGGAGGTTTCAAAAGCCTCTGCCACTATTCTAATGTACTCTGTGTCTACAGCCTGCTGTCTGGGCTGGACCCTCATGGACTGTAACCGGCTGTAACCACAGCCCACACGAACCCTTCCTTCTCAGAGCTGTCATGGTATGATACGTTGTCACAGCAGCACCAAAGTCACTGTCAAGTGTGGTTCTCACCAAAAGACTTCATCTCTGAAAACTTTCTCAGCACTCTGCATACTGCCCCTTTTCTTTGGGTGGATTGTGTGTGTGTGTGTGTGTGTGTGTGTGTGTGTGTGTGTGTGCTGTGACCCAGGGTCAAACACTGGTCACCTTCTCCTTCACTCGGACCTTACTGACTGCCACCAGGGGATCTCTCTACATTTCTCCTGGCTTTTACTATAGTGCAGGACATAGGTCCCTTTCCCCAGTCTCCAGCTGAGCTTTGAGAGGGACAAAAAAGAGGGAGGGTATCAGATACTACAGCTCCATTCAGAAGAAACGACTCCTGGTGTGAGGATTCAGACATTCTGCTGGCCTGCCCTGTCACCTGGCAGAATGCACTCAGCCAGTGCTCTGGTCAGCCCAGGGTTCCATGAGTTCTAGTCTGCACGCAGGTGCAAAGGATTCTTTTACGCTCTCCTTCCTGCTGTTCCCCTGGGCAGACAGGACTTTTCCTGTCTCCTGTCTCCCTCTTCTTTTCTGTCCTTTCTGTATCTCTTTACCTCCTTTCTCTTCCTTCCCTTCCCTTTCTAATAAAACTTGTCATTAAGCTCCATCTGCCTGGCATGTTTGTCCCCCGCCTCGTTCACCCTCAACTGCCATGGAATCTGCCAAGGTTCCTCTGGCACTTTGTCATCATAACACCTGGCCCCCAGAGTCTCCCAGCTCTGTGTGTAGGAGAGACCAGCCGCATTAACAAAGACGCTGCCATGCCAGGTGTAGTGGCACACACTTTAAATCCTAGTGCTTGGGAGGCGGAGGCAAGTGGAGTTCTACATAGCAAGATTCAGGCCATCCAGAGCTATCTAGTGCTATTCTGCCTCAGAGGAAGGAGAAGAGGAGCAGCCGCTACCGCTGCTGCCTAGTGTGGCGGTACATGCCTGCGATCCCAGCAGCAGGGAGGTAGGGCAGGAAGACCAGGAGTTCAAGGCCCTCCAAGGCTATCTGGGAGTCTGAGGCTAGCTAGCCTGAGCTACTTGAAATTCTGTCTCAAAACAACTGAAGCCAAAACAAGTAACAAGAAGAAACATACCCACACAAATGCATGTATGAAAACACACACACACACACACACACACACACACACACACACACTCTTCCTGCACACTCAGGTCCAAACCTTAGCTATGTCACTGAGAAATTCAGGCAACTGTTGGACTTCTCGGAACCCTAGTATTCTCAGGAAAATGGGCTGAGGTGTGTTGTGGCTCGAGCAGAGGAAATGGAAGAGTGTCATGAAAGGGAGTGGCATGGCTGGGTGGCAGGACTCTGCCCTGGCCTCCCTGTTCATCCCCTTGTCTCACCTTGTGGCACCAGGGCATTGGCTGAGATGCAGACCCCCACCAGGACCTGGAAGCCCACCAGGGTCATGCGGCGGCCCAGGAATCTCAGCAATAGGATGGTTGTGGCTCGGCTCAGGAAGTCCATAACACCAAAGAGGGTCTGCAAGAGGAAGATGTTTCCGCCCAGGCTTTGCAGGTCCAGGACCAGGCCATAGTAGGACAACATTAGGGAGAAGCTGTGGACAGAGCCAGAGTCAGGTGCACGCCACAGAGGAGTGACCCAGGGAAGGTCTCTCTCAGCAAAGAGGGACCTCAGAAAGTTTTATGCTCCTCCTTCAGGGAGCGTGCCCCTCAGCTGGGGATGGCATCCCAGGGCAGATCCACAGGTACCTGGAGAACCTCCAGAAGTGCCACCCAGTTCCCACACTCCCTGAGACCTCAGTCACTCCTGAGGACAGGGTGGCCTCATCCTCCAGCTCCAGTGCTTGAATTTAGCAGTGGCTACAAGGTGAAATTATTCCCCACCACTCGTAAGCCCTATCAAAGCCTCCAGTGGCTTTGCCCAGTAGATGCGGACAGCCTGGGTGATGGCTGCAGAGGCAAAGCTCGGGGTGACAGAGGTTCCAGCTTTTCAGACTTATGTGGACGATGACTGAGGAGGACTCAAAAGGATCTAGGGCCTCCCATGGGAACAACAGAGAATTGTGGGTAATGGCCGGGTTAGCACCTCAAAGCCTCTGATTTGAATAACAAAAGATACTGTGTGGCACTTGGGAAAGCTAGGAAGCCTTGAAGGTTTTTTTGAGGGTGGGGTCTGAATGTTGGCTTCCTTGCAATTTATTAAGAAGGAAAACAAACAAACAAAAAACTAAAAAATAAAAGTTTACCAAAAAAAGCATTTGATCATATTCTTTGTTCAGAGATAAGCACAATTTGTGGTTATAACTTATGTGTAGCTAACTATAGCGTGAAACAAACATTTTCCTCGTTAGGTTTGGGGGTTTTTGTTTGTTTGTTCGTTTGTTTTGCTTTGGTTTGGTTTGGTTTTGAGATGGGCTCATGTAGCCCAGGCTAGCCTACCATCTGCTTTTGTGTGGTGCTGGGGAACGAATCTAGGGCTTCCTGCATCATAGATAGGTACTCTACTCGCTGAGACACACTCCCAGCATCAACGTTAGTTTTACTGGAGACCAAATTCCAGTCAAGACTGATCGTCCTTTTTCAGAAGTTCTTTGGATGTCATGTTAACTAAACTTGCCTGCAGAGGACATTTGCTGATCCCTAATGCTTCTCAAGGCAGGCAGGGCCTCTCTGTGCAAGGCATGGGGAACTGGAAGCATTTTGGCCGGGGTTCAAGAACAGTCTACCACCAGCAACTACTCACCCGTCTGGGACCCACTTTTCCCATCTGTGAAGTGGGAGCTGTAAGGAGACATTCAGTGCTTGTCACCCTCTGGGACCTAGCTGTCAAGGCTGGCAAACATCTCTGGGAGAGCCTGCCTGGTCTCTTACAGAGACTGCTATTCCAGCTGTGCCTCTCAGCTGGCTTCCAGCACACAACCATGCCCAGATCAACTTTTCTCCTGTCTCAATCTAGCCTGCTAGGACTCCAGTCTCTTGGATGCCCTTGGGAGGCCTGAGGGTGCTGGATTCCCTGGACACCACCCTTATGCCCCATTTGTGCCTCTGAGAGAGGTGACCAGGACATCGTACTTCACCACAATCATGGCGCAGGTTCTCTGGCAAAGCACAGGCTGGCGAAACAGGTCGAGCACAGATTGCTGTGTCTTGGTTGCCTCTTTGGCCATGCTAGATGTCAGCACCTCCAGGAGGGGAGAAAACAGGAATGGGTGTTAGAGTGATGGACTTGTGCCGTGATGTCTCAAGTGGACAAGGACGAGGGCTTAGCTTGGCCTAGACCTCTGGACCTGTGAATGGGAAAGGGTAGCAGAGACCCCCTCTGGACTCGGTGGCCTTTTGAGCAGGCCTGGCTTACTGAACCGGATGGAGGAGCAGCCTCATGTTGCTTGTCAAGCACTAGAGCCCTGATGGCTGGCACCATGGCATGCCCACTCTGGCCAAGCTGGACCATCACTGTTCTCCAAGGGCTCATTCAGTTCTTGCACCTTGAGCTCTCTTAGCTTGGCATTAATGATCTGGCCTGCTTCTAGTAGCTTCCCCTGGTACCTCCACAGAGCTCTGTGTCCTGTATCCTCTGCAGAATATCCTCCACATACTTTCTAAAAATAGCTAACTTCAAATAACAACCTTATTTCCCCAGATACATCAAAAAGTTCCATGAGGCAGGTGTGTGAGACACCCAGACTTAGGTCATAGATGAGACAGGTATAATAGTGGTACTGTTATTGGCAGTGATGGTAGGGATATGGTGACAGTGCTCCTGGTAACAATGGTGGGGACAGTGGGCATGGTGGGCGTGGCAACGATGGTGGGAAGAGTAGTGATGGTAGTGACGTTGGCCAGGTCTCTAGTGGTAAATTGTCTTTTTACTCTTAATGACTTTTTTAAAAATGATGTATCTGGGCTGGGCAGTAGTGGTGCAAGCTTTGCACACCTTTAATCGCAGCACTCTGGAGGCAGACGCAGGTGGATCTCTGTGAGTTCGAGGCCAGCCTGGTCTACAAAGTGAGTTCCAGGATAGCCAGGGCTACACAGAGAAACCCTGTCCCAAAAATTCAAAAAAAAAAAAAAAAGATAGAAAAGATAGAGGAATGATGGATGTATGGTGGCGGTGTTTTGCAGATACCAATAGTGATATCAATGATAGTGTTGGTTGTGGTGAAGAGGAAATCCATTGTGGTGGAGGAGGTGGTTGTAGAGATGGACTGTGGCGGTTTTAACGCTGCTGCTGAAAGTGTTGATAATAATCTCTTTCGTTGATGATAGCAACAGCGCTCGTGTAAGGATGGTGGTACTGATGGTGGTACATGATTTCATGTGATGATGGTGGTGGTTTGTGGTGTTCTTGGTAAACCTGATGGAGATGGTGGTGCAGTGGACAACAGGAGCTGGGGGTAATACAGATAACACCTCATGGACATATTTTCCTGAGTTATAACAACAGCCTCTCACCTCTATGGTCAGTGTCTTCTTGGCTTCCTTGTGGCCATTTATCCTGGCTACCTTCTGGAGTTCCCGAAGTGCTTTCTCTGGTTGGCCTATGATAATCAGCCATCGGGCGGATTCTGGTAGCCACCTGTCAAAGCATCAGGTGTTTTGTCTTGGAGCACCGTGGGTACTCCTGATTTGGGTGGGAGGGAACAGCGGACAGCAGATCCCCCAGCTTGGTGTGACAGAGGAGCAGGGAGACACTTCTCACCTGTCCTGTTAAAGCTGGGTTGGACAGAGCCCCAGCACCAGGCCCCTCCCTCTTTTTCTCTGGGCCACTCCAACTGGCCTTGCTTGAAGCCAGGAGCTTCATGTCCTGTCTATGTGGACACAGAAGCTGCCTCTCCGGTGATTCTGAGGTCGTTTCTGTGGTAGAAAGTCCACGTGGGCTAATGGGGTACTTTGGTGGGTAAAGGAACTTGCTGCCAAGCCTGGTAACCTGAGTTGAATCTCTAGGACTCACATGCTGAGGAGAAAACTAATGTTCCCACGTTGTTCCCTGACCTGCACATACTCATGCACCTCCCAATAAATAAATAGATAATGAATAAATCTAAAAGAAAGCTTGACTTACACACACACACACACACACACACACACACACACACAGAGTCACTTGGCCTTGTGTTATTCTGTTTTGTTTGTTTGTTTGTTTGTTTGTTTTGCTTGTTTTGTTTTGTGTTTTTCGAGACAGGGTTTCTCTGTGTAGCTTTGGAGGATGTCCTGGAACTTGCTCTGTAGACCAGGCTGGTCTTGAATTCACAGAGATCAGCCTGTCTCTGCTGGGATTAAAAGTGTGAGCCACCACCATCCGGTCTTGTTTTTGTTTTTGTTTTTGTTTTTAAATACTGTTTAATTCCCCTAAGGCAGAGCTAAGTGAGTTATAAAACCAGTCTGCTTATCCCCAACCTTAGGGGCTGCTGTCTTTGAGAAACCTTTCTCTGGTCAAAGATGCTGGGTTTGGCCTGTTTCTGGCAGTTTGGCACATGGCTTAGAGTCAGCTGACCAAGCCTGTGGCACAGGTCTGTGGACCTGGAGCTCAGGAGGCTAAAGCAGTAGGTTTGCAAGGCCAACCTAGGCCATGTATTGAGTTTGAAGCCAGCTGAGGAAATTTTGTTTCAAAATAAAAAGTAAAAAGAAGTCCAAAATATAACTCAGTGGTACAGTGGCCCCTCAGTCTCATCATGAATAAAAAAGTAAAAAATAGAACAAACCAACCTGCCCAAGTTCAAATCTTGCCTCTGGTTTTTACCAGCCTGTGTGATCTTGGACAAGTGATGAAACCTCATCTGCAAACAGGTGTCACAAACCACACCTGGTATATACCAGGTCCCTTGTACCCAGTCAGCCAGTCGCATGATGAATCATCATGCCATGGTCTTCCTCTTTGTTTATCCATGCTAGTCACAGAATGCAAGGAAGCATTATGCTGTCGGTGGCTTCAGTCTGTTCTGATTCCTAGTGTGTCTTCAGTGCCTGGAACCACATCTGACCTGAGACAGGAGCTCAGTCCTATTTAAGAATCAACGTCAAATGTCATTCTCCACATCCTACAGTGGTCTGACTGGGGTCTGGGCTGACTGGTTCTAGTGTATGGGTGTTAGAGAATGTTAGAGAACTACAGTGACATTCATTTGTATTAACTTTCCTGTCCCTCCCCATAGTCCTCACCCAAGCAAGGATTTCCAGATGTTTACAGGACTCTAAAAGTAGCAACGACACCAACAGTCTCATCTCCAACACTGGTCCTTGCAGACTTGGATCCCAAGTACCCTGCCAGTCAGGCTGGGGTTGGGGACAGTGCTGGTTGGCATGAAAGGAGGATGGGGTCAGCCCCAACCCAGAGGACAGAGGCTGCTGTCCTGCTTTGATCCCATCCCTGCCTGGTGGGACCCAGGACCTTCTCGTTTTCCAAGAAAAGGTGGGAGTGTTACTTGTTTCTGTTTTTAAGAACCTCCTGGTTTTAAGTGTTGATAATGTCCCCTCTCCAGTCAATGCTGTGTGGTCTGGCTAAAGCATTCACTCAGGGACCCCAAATGGTGAGTGTTATTGTCTTCCTGTGTTCCCAGCGGGATGTGACCAGTTAGATGGTGAGATAGAGAGACTCACTCCTCCCACAGGTCTCCCATAAAAGAGACCCCAATTTACTGACCAGGACAGCAGGAATGCAGCCAAGAAGGGGATGGACACAGCCAGCTGGAGGTTTCGCCAATCCCGCAGAGCAAAGGCCAGGCCTGCCAAGACTATGTGGCCCATGCTGGAAATGCTGCACAGGATTGTCATGGCAACATCCCTCCTGTGCACCGTAGTCCACTCGACCGCTGCAAGTTGATGTGGAGGCCCAGAGTGAGGTTCAGGCCCCTCTTGCTCCAGGGCAGGAGAAAGAGTAAAGGCCTCTGGGTACCTACTCAGTGCGAACTGGGCCAGAAAGGCACCAGCCATCCCAAAGGCACTCAGGAACCGAAGACCACAGTAGATGAAGAAGTTGGGAGCCAAGATGGCTCCAGCACTACCCATAGCCACTTGCAGGAAGCACCAGCTCAGCATCGGCTTACGCCCCAGCCTGTGAAGATGAGCACATGGGATGTGGGGATGTCCTTGGAGACCCTACACAGGGCAGGTGGTACCTGCTCAGGGTCTTACAAAGGGAGCCAAGTGCAGCTAGCTCTGCTTTCCCAGAGCTTCTAGAAACTTCTGGAAACATGGAAGGCTTTTGTGATTGAGATGGTAGTATCTTGCTGTCAGAGTAGGTGAAAACTTGTAGTCAAGAATATGGCTTTGGCATTAGGCACCCAAAGTCCCCTGGGGCTCAGTGGCAACATATGGGTGACCTGGGAGGGAGCCCCCTCTGGTTGGGAACACTGGAGTTTGCCTGATACCTTCATGCCTTCTGCTCCCACTGTTATTCTACCAGGAGGAGAGGGGATGGATACTCACCTGTGGGAGAGAAAGCCCCAGAACACAGATCCTGCCATGAGACCAGCCATGTAGATGGCCTGGCCCAGGGGCTTCAGGCTCTGGGAGTTACACACCAGGTCCCACTGGAAGAGAGAGAAGCCTGACAGTTTCTGTGTTAGGTGGAAGGGGTGGCTGATGGAGGGCTGAGTTGAGAGTCTTTTGCCAAGAGCCAGGTCAGCCTAGGTCCTCAGGACCCATTCTCCACAAGGATCCCAGTGGCAGACTATAGGAGACAGGGCTTCTGTGTACCACTGGAAGCTCAGCTATTAGTCACACCTGCCTTGCATCTGATAGCTTCCTTTATTCAATATGGGACAGTGACAGGACCCAGCCCACTGGACTGTGTGAGGTCATGGCTAGAAGGCCAGCCTGTGGAACAGTGCATGTCACCAAAAGGTAACAGGACAGGAAAGGGTGCTGAGCCAGCATTGCTATTCTAAATGCTGATTGTGTGGATGGGTCTGTCCCAAGCTCCTGTCTGTCCTAAAACCCAAGCCTACATCTGAACCCGGGTCACCATAAGCCATCAGAAGTATAAGCCAGATAGTAAACTTCTCCACTTGAGGGAGGGGGGTCTGGAGAGAGAGTTCAGTGGGAATACGCTCGCTGCAGAAGCATGAAGATGTGACTTCAGTGTTCAGAACCCACATAAAAAGCTGGGCAAGGTGGTACGCCTTTGTAGCCCCAACATGGGATGGGTGGGGGAAGGAGGAGTGTCTGGCCAGGCAAATGTGGGAGCCTGCTGTCCCAAGGCAGGGAGATCCTGTGTCACAAAACAAGGTGGGGGCTGGAGAGATGGCTCAGATAGTTAAGAGCCCCTTGTGTGCAATTGTTAGAATTCTAACAGCCACACACCTAACAAGCCAGACATCTGGCTCATGCCTATAACCCCAGCTCTAAGGGGAAAAGAGACAGGATTCCAGGGCTTGCTCTCTTCTGGCCTAGCTGAGAAAATGTGAGGTCAGGTTCAGGGAGAGACCCTGCCTCAAAGGGACAGGCAGAAGGATAGAAGACATCTGACACCTTTGGACTCTGCAGGTGTGTATAGACACCACACACACACACACACACACACACACACACACACACACACACACACACAATTTTTTTTAAAGATGCATGGCTCCAGCTTCCATACACACACACATGCATATAGAGGTATACCTGCTTGCGGATGCACATGTTCTCTCTCTCTCTCTCTCTCTCTCTCTCTCTCTCTCTGTGTGTGTGTGTGTGTGTGTGTCTGTCTGTCTGTCTGTCTGTGTGTCTTTCCACTTGAGCAAACTAGTCCTAGATCCATCTGTGTTCTTGTACACTCCAGTTTTATTAAAGAACTCTTCTAAGACTGTTCAGTAAGAACATCCCACTCTGTTTCAGTGAGAATCCAGTTGGGCTAGTTTGGCCAGCCTCTTCTGTCATTGTAATTTTCTGCCCTCTGACCCTCCCAGGCTTCTAGTTGTGACTGACCTTTTGTCTCGAGTAGGGGCACATCTCTTTCTCCCGAAGCAAGACCACATCTCTACCTGATGGTTTCTCTAGCTGTGGAGAGATCAAATCTGCCTTCCCATTTTGGATAGCTGGATACCTGTTTTATGTGTCGGTGTGTGCATGGCATGTGTGTGTGTGTGTGTGGGGGGGTTACATATGTGCGTGTGTCTCTTGAAGTTGACAGTAGGTATCTATCTCAATTACTCTTCACTTTGTAGTTTGAGACAGCAGTCTCTCACTGAAGTTAGAATTCTCTGAAGCCCCAAGGATCTTCCTGTCTCTGTTCCCTTAGCACTGTCTGCCTACCCCTTTTTATATGGGTTCTGGGGGTTTGAACTCAGGTCTTCAGACAGCACTTTACTGACTGAGTCATCTCCCTAGGCCTGTATAACACTTCAATATTTTGTTTGTTGTGCAAGGCCAGGGGAAGAGGCAAGCTATGCAGGCCAGTTCTGGGGATCCTTACCTTGGTTACAATTGTAGATGAAAAAGTACTGTTGTCATAGACCCAACCATCCACACATGGCTCTGTCACAGCCTCACTCCTGTTGGCAGCTGTGGCATTGGGGTCCAGAAACTGCCACTGTGGATGGCGGAAGCGACGGCACTGGTGAGGTTTCAGGTTGGGGCCAGCTGGGATGGAGATGGCTAGGAGGGCCTCGTGGGTCAGGTTGGTGAACACCTCAGAGCTGTTGTCCAGCATATTGGTCCAACAGCGGTGGTCTGGGACGGCAGCTGAGAAATTCTCCAGAAGTATGTGAAAAGGGAACGAGATGGTAGGGAGAATCAGCGTGCAGATCTGCAGGACCTGGAAGAGTCCCATACCCCCAGCTCTGTCCAGAAGCTCCTCGAACGCCATGAGCGGAGCTGATCCTCGTCGCCCTTGGGGAAGAAGGTGAGTGCTGAGATCTGCTAGTCCTTGCTAGTCCTCACGGATACCAAGTGCTCCCAAGCTCCTCCTTGCTCTGATGGTAGAGATAGGAGTGGGGTGGGAGGGTAAAAGTCTCCTTGTCCTGTTTCCAGGAGTGATCACTGGGATGTCCCAACACTGTAGAGGGGACCCAGGTAGAGGACTCATGTGCTGAACTGCCTGGATGGCAGGACTGCTACCAGGTCAGGGTGGGAAGGCCTGAGCCCTCTCTGATACCAAGAGAGAACAGTCAAACAGGTTTTTCCAACCTCCAGGGCAAAGCTGTTACTGAGTTACAGCCACGGAAGGACTGGCTGCTGCCACTGCTTACTGGGAGCAGCAAATGTTCAACCTCAGCCTGGGCTCCCATGCCTGACTATTCTCACCCAGGACTTTATACTCTTTCAAACTTGTCATAGGGTTGTCCAATCAGGGAACCATTGACCTCACTGGAACCCAGTGGCTGATGCTGGCAGCTGCTGGCTATTTACTTACTGTCTTGGGGTATGTGAGTGTGTGCAAATGTGCAGGAAAGCCAGAGGACAACCTGCAGGGTTGCTTTAAGCTTGGGTCCTCGGGTAAGAGCCTTTCCCCATGTAGCCATCCGTCCTGAACTCTTGCCCCGAGCCTCTTTTCCAGACTGGAAACTTCAGGTGGAACCCATGGCTGCTGTTTCTCAGAATCTCTCGGAAGTCACTCAAGGGACTGAGTGGATGTGCATGTGTGGAACTTCACCATCTCCTTGGTCACCCATCTCCCTCGTTCCCTGTAAGGATGAAGCCAGCCTGACCCTAGTGCAGCATCTGGGCTGTTCCCCTTGGTGACAGCCGTCCTCTGCTCCCAGAGTCACCTTCTTCTATGCTGTGCTCTGTGCCCCCATCCATTTCTCATAGCAGCCAAGACAGAAATGGGTGTTAACTACTTCTAACAAAAAAAGGAGGTTCAGAGAGGGCAAGCAACTTGACCAAGGTCACACAGTCAAGCTCAAATTAAAACCAGATACCAAAGCCTGAACTCTCCTGGATGCCCCATGGGCAGTGTCTGAGTGGCCACCAGCTGGCCCGGAACACAGGGTTACCTCTCTGGGTGCCAGAGGGAAGTGTCGTAGGTTTTAGAGAGACTTGTGCATGGGTGAGGACCCCGAACTTCCAGGAACCTCCTTAGAGGGCTTGGGGAGCTGTGTGGGACTCCCTTACCCTGCCTCAGCATGGGAGCTCACTGTACGGTCTGCCATTGCAGATCCAGAGAGATGGGGTAACCAGGCCAGAGGAACCCATGAGAGGTGGTAGGAACGGGGTAGGCCAGATCCAACACAGGGGCTGGTACCTTGATGCATGGCCTCGCTTCCTTGTCCCTCTGACTTTTTAGTCTGTGAAACAGTAATGTTTGCAAACCTGAGCATACATCAAAGACCATGGGCTGGGCCCTTGCCTGAACTGACTCCCCTCCCCGCAGCCTCTGGGAATTCTGCTGAGTCTTTGGGTTCCAGGAGGCTGAAAGCCAAAGCGTGGAGGGTGGGGATTTATTTCTTTTCCAACTCCTTCCCTGCCTTTGCCTGTCACGGACTCTTCCAGGATTTGCTAGCAAAAGGTCAAACCTCCCGGATTTGCCAGAAGGCTCTCGGAATCTCCAGCTGACTTCCACGTCGAGGCCAAAGAATTTTTAATTTGTATTTTCTGCTGCTTTTCTAGGGCTGTTGGGGGGGGGCAGGGTGTGGTGCGGCTGCTCCCCCCCCCGGGGGGTC